TGCACTCCGGGTCTTTCGGCTACAACTACAATGGCATGGACCTAACCGTGAACCGCGCCAACAACGGCGGCCACTTCGGGGCCGTGAGGGAGGACGGCCGTGGATTCGCGCCGGACGCCCGGTACAGACAGACGCCCAACTGCTCCCTCGCGTCTCCAGACCCGGTGCCGCCGTCGTGCGCCACGGCCAGCCGCGAGCCGCTGGAAATAAAAAGCCCCTCTCCTCCCTGTGACCGGAGCTCGACCGCGAGCGGCAACAATCTCAACAAAAACAACAACAACAACGGCGGCGGCGGCGGCGGCGGCGGAAGCGCGCTTTTCACGGAGATAGAGGACCCCTCCGTCAACTCCGAGACCGAGGAGGGCGCACACGGCAGCGGCGGCTCCGGCTCGGCCACCCGGGCGCAGCAGCAGCAGCAGCACCACCAGGATCCAAACGCCACCTCCTCTACCCCCTCATCGAATGATTGCCAGTCGCCACAAATATTCCCCTGGATGCGGAAACTGCACATAAGCCATGGTATATTCACACCTCTAATAATATTTAGTTTGGACGGATGTCACGCTGGACGGCGTGTCATAAATCTGCCAGAGTGTTTGCATGAGTGAGCATCTCGGTGTGTATGGAGACGATAGGTGGTGGTGGGGGTGGGGGGTAACAAAAAGGGTCAGTATTTGTGGAGGTGGGCTCGGCTGGTTGTGTTATGTTTTTTCGGGGTTATGTGCCGGCTGGGGTTTTTTTTTTCGTCTGCGGGAGTTGGAGCTGAGAGAGAACCGTGTGAGTGTGTGTTCGTGTGTACGCGCGCGCGCGGTTCGTGTGCACACTGCCATAATAAAAATGATGTATAATTTTTGTGTAGATAAAGTGCTGCCAATGCCATGTTAGAGACGTGTAGAAGGATAGACTTCATTTCAGTATCTGCACGGTGGTGTTTGGTGCATTAGGTTGAAACCAGGTCCTCTTGTCTGTCCTTGTGCTCGTGTCTTCATTTGGGGGACTTTATGCAAAATCCGCCAAAATGTAAATATGTTTAGTGTTCAGTTTTTTGTTTTTACTCTGTCGTTATCGTAAGGGGCTACTGAGTTTGTTCTTATTTTGTCCTCCCGTGGTGTTCGTTGTTCTATAATAGTCTTAGGCTTGATGTTTTTTGCAGCTGTGCCATCTGACATCTGTACAGACAAGAAATGTTACATGTTATTTATTGTTGTTCACCTCCGGTTCAATGCACATTTGGATATTGCGTGAAATATTTTGTTTAGGAAATTGTACATAGAAATAAAGGCTTTTTGATGTATATTGGACGATCTTGTGGCGTCGTTTTGTTTTTAAAAACAGACTATCATTATTGTAAGTATTATTCTAACGCGGTGCTGAACGTCTCCTGACGCAACAATAAACCAATAAAAATACCCATGAAACTCCGGGTAACGATGAAAAATAATTCCACGTTGACACTCCACGCGTTAAGCTGCCAGCAGCGCGGATGATACGTCTCTGTTATGCGTTACCTGAGCCTTTTGTGGCCTGTATCGTCAGCGCGTTACGGAAAATGATGGATGGCTCCGCGGGCCCCTGGCGGCGCGTCCCCGCTGGAGCGATACCGCCTCTGTCCAGAAGATGGCGCTCTCTGTCCGCTCGGGCTCTCGGGAGCGCAGCGGGGAGGCACCATTGACTGGAGCCTAACGACCATTATTTCGTCATCATTTGTAACCACGGAGCATGAATTACCTCTTGAAGTCATCAGTGAGGATTTACGACTGGTCAACAAAGGCACGTGATTCTCGAACGCTCTCCCATATTTGGCCGCATACCTGGCAAAGTACAGTAGGGGCTTCATTGCTTATAATTCATGATTGCGTCCATAAATCGTGCAAGCACACAGGATTATAGCGACAAAGATCTACAAATCGAGGCTTTAAAAATCCAAGCAAATGAGCTCTTACTTTGTAAACTCGTTCTCGGGGCGCTATCCAAATGGCTCCGACTATCAGTTACTAAATTATGGGACTAACGGCGCTTGTGAGCGGCTTCTTCAGAGACCCTGGCACTCATGCACTCCGGGTCTTTCGCTACACTAACATGGCATGGAACCTTAACCGTGAACGCGTCAACACGGCGCCACTTCGGGCCGTGAGGGAGACGGCGTGAATCCGCCGGACGCCCGGTACAGACAGACGCCCAACTGCTCCCTCGCGTCTCCAGACCCGGTGCCGCCGTCGTGCGCCACGGCCAGCCGCGAGCCGCTGGAAATAAAAAGCCCCTCTCCTCCCTGTGACCGGAGCTCGACCGCGAGCGGCAACAATCTCAACAAAAACAACAACAACAACGGCGGCGGCGGCGGCGGCGGCGGAAGCGCGCTTTTCACGGAGATAGAGGACCCCTCCGTCAACTCCGAGACCGAGGAGGGCGCACACGGCAGCGGCGGCTCCGGCTCGGCCACCCGGGCGCAGCAGCAGCAGCAGCACCACCAGGATCCAAACGCCACCTCCTCTACCCCCTCATCGAATGATTGCCAGTCGCCACAAATATTCCCCTGGATGCGGAAACTGCACATAAGCCATGGTATATTCACACCTCTAATAATATTTAGTTTGGACGGATGTCACGCTGGACGGCGTGTCATAAATCTGCCAGAGTGTTTGCATGAGTGAGCATCTCGGTGTGTATGGAGACGATAGGTGGTGGTGGGGGTGGGGGGGTAACAAAAAGGGTCAGTATTTGTGGAGGTGGGCTCGGCTGGTTGTGTTATGTTTTTTCGGGGTTATGTGCCGGCTGGGGTTTTTTTTTCGTCTGCGGGAGTTGGAGCTGAGAGAGAACCGTGTGAGTGCTTGTTTTGTGTCGCATGCCCTCTCCTCGTGTTGTGACCCCTCCAGTGTGTGTGTGTGTGCGTGTGCGTGTGCGTGTGCGTGCAGCTAAGCATTTACAGAAAAGCGTTGCAGTGCAAACCTCTTTTCTTCGTTGTTGTTGTTGTTGTTGTTGTTCAGTGCGGTTGCTAATTTGGATTTTTCTGTGAACAATTGATTGTTGTAGATATGACTGGACCGGATGGGAAAAGGGCCCGAACCGCGTACACCCGGTACCAGACGCTAGAGCTGGAGAAAGAGTTTCACTTCAATAGGTACCTGACCAGGCGGCGGAGGATAGAGATAGCACACGCCCTGTGTCTCTCCGAAAGACAGATCAAAATCTGGTTTCAGAACCGCAGGATGAAGTGGAAGAAGGACAATAAGCTGAAAAGCATGAGTCTGGTGACAGGAGGCAGCGCCTTCCATAACTGAATAATAACTTTTTTTTTCTTGGTGGGGGAAGGGGAGGATGCGCGGTGGGGGGGAGAGTAAAACAAATAACACTATTTAAAAAAAATGACAAAAAAAGAAAGAATCCACGAGTTCCGTAAAGCTATAAAGCGCAGCACCTTTCAGCATGCTATTGTGGTAGAAAAAGAAGTATTCTGTGGTCTTAAAATGACATTTTTAGTTCCCTGTTGTTGTGCTATGATTGCTTAGATGTCATATTTGTAAAACACGATGTAAATATTATCGGGGGTAGTAATTGTCCATGCGTATTGCTCTCTCTCTCTCGCTCTCCCTTTCTCTCTCTCTCTCTTCCTATCTTGAAGGTGTTTCAACTTGAGCTCTTTATTGTGACTTCTTTCACGGTCTATCGGGAGTAAATTCATTGTACAGTTAAAAAACAAACAAAAAAAACAACAAGTTTCCAAACCATATGCTGCTCTTCATTGAATGTACACCGAATGTATCCCGGGGCAATTCATAGCGCTTTAGTGTCCGAATTACTGCTATTCTTGTGGCCACATCCATCCAAGTCCAAAGCAAGTGTAGCTTTAGGGTATTTCGTGCACTCTTATTATTACTATTATTATTGTTTAGAATAATTATGAGCAATGCAAATGTATTCAAACCTGTCAATGTGATGACTTTTTAGTGCAGAGGGTTATTCTGTGGTTAGGCAGTGATGTGAGCTTTTTTCGCCAATAAGCTTTTTGTATTTGTAAGTGAACTCATAGCGCTTGAAAAAAAAATAAAAGTTTCTCTCAATTGCTTTGAACGTGTCTCAACTGTAAAACAAACAGGAACACATATCAGTTTCTACGTTTGGTTCACATTTCAATACGCACCAATGATTAACTTCACACTTATAAAAGGGTCAGGTGAAAAACGCAGATTTTTTTTTGCAGACAAAGTGACAGAGAAAAAGAAAACTTTTTCAAACTTACCTTCTCCTGCAGCGAGACGCGTGTGCGCCATGTTGGTGATAAAATCCCCCCTGAAACTAAAAAAAGAGTGTCTTTAGCTTACAGGTATATAGGCCGGACTGAAGTTGGTAAAGAGATCCCCCTTACCAAAGATTGTATAGACCTATATTACTTACAGACTGAGAAAAGTCACGTGAGGTCCATAAAGTTGGTTTTATGGTTTTGGGGAGTAGACAATGTACTATATAATTCACAACCGTGAATGAAAGTGACGGCTTAACTGCATGGATGGGACTGGACGGGGGAAAGAGCTGATGTCCACTTATATTTAGTTAGTTTAAACTTCTGAGAGAACTTGGAGGTAATAAAATGTTTCTGTTAAAAATAAAACATATTGTGGGTGCACAAATGTTCTTTGAAAAAAATGTTTTTTTGGTGGTTCTAATTTTATATTTTATTTTTAATAATACGTTTAGACTCCTAAAATGTAAAAAAGACAGATTATGTTCAAAATTTCTACCCACAGAAAACTAAAATTATTTGACACTTTAAATGTCTTGAAATTGAATTCCCAAACTTTTCCTGTTCGGAGAAAAAAAAAATTCTAAGGCCCCGTTTTCTGCTTAGCAACTTTCTCGTGTCCAAGAAAGAAAAAAAACAACAAAAGTGCTTTCATTTACAAGAATGTCTTGCTAAAAAACCCAAAACGATTCTCATTATTCGCCTTCAAAACTAACTGGAGGATTTTTATGCAGCTGTCAATAGACGAACTTGAGCGGAGTGATTTATCCCGATGTGCCGAGTCACCGAGCGGCCAAAGGTGAAGTCTCGGACAACCCCGAGCCGGACGGCAGGCTGCACTGATTAAACATTGTGAAATCTCCGGACTACATGTGGCCTTATATGCACGTGTCTAATAAAACACAATGATATTATCTACACTAACTAAATGCAATCTTTAAAAAAATCTTTTCAAACTAATTTCAAGTAAAAGAAGAAGAAGAGGAAAAAAAGATAAAGTTAAAACCAGTTGTGGGCTATATGGGTCCCAGACATTTTCCACATATTCATAACTATTAAGTGGCAATTTAACCAGCGTAATGAGTATTGCATATTGATAGGGGTAATCTGTACCCGGATCTCATGCATAATTCATGTCGGCGGGGATCATCGGTGGGTCAGCAGACGATCTGAGCCGCAGATGCGTCAGGATGAGGAAGCGCTGCTGCGGACAGACTTTGCACTGTCACGATCGAGACAGAGAGAAAACACATCTCAGGGTTTTTGCACATGAGATGACAATACCGTGTTCTTATTTCTGTGTTCAGTATTTATAAATCTCTGGTTGGGCTGCAGTGGCGTGAACATCACTTGTTTTTTTAATTTTCTTTTGTCTGCTCTGCAACACGATTCCTTTAATGGCTTTAAAGTGCGCAGAGAAAGTAGGGCGAGATGTACAGTGAACAAAAAGGCCACCGTAACCCCATTTTAACTACATATTTGTTATTATTGTGACATACTAAAGCTACAAATCTGCTTCAGAATTAAAGTGAATAAAATCAGTGTATTTTAGAATTGTATAGATCAAATGAGTTAACGTCAACTACTGTTTTAAATCCACCACGTCAAACGTTGTACCACGATGATGAAAAACATGAAACAAATGTCAACCTTTTATTTCCTTTTTTGTCCGGCCAGTTATGGTGTCACATCTGGAGGGACGCGTGCGTGTGTGTGTGTGTGTGAGTGTGTGCAGATGCGGTGCAGCGGTCCCGCCAGCAGAGGGCGCCTCAGACCGACCCGGGCTGATGATGGATGGCTTGTCCTCTCCTTCCCTTTGGCTCCAGGTCTGACTCACACGCAGCTTCCAGAGAGAAACCAGCGTCTCTCTGAGCGCGTTTATTGGTTCTCTCTGACAGGTTTGTTCGGGCTGAGTGGGAGGAATAAACCTTTTAATGCCGGACACTTCAAGCTGACAGTGAACTGAAGTTGTTGAGGAACGCAGCTGCGGTGTGTTTGCTGAGCTGTGATTTGGAGCCAGTTGTATCGAAGTGTTTCCATTAGTTTTAGATTTTTAACACGAGAACAACGACACAGATCAAAATATATTCAAGTTTGAGTAAGCCAATGGTTTTTACAGTGTTGTTTGACACATCTTCCTCCTGAGCTTCTCTTTGTTTGATTGTTTTGGATCGTGACGGCCAAAGAGGGAAACCTATTCATATTTCACATGAAAGCATGAAGACATAATAGAGATTTGTTTATAAAATGCTAGCAAAATAAAGCTAATCTGGTTCAGAACTTACTTTTTCTTCTCTGCTCTGACCTCATGACCCCTCAGATTTATCTGGTGACCCGTTGGAGGGGCTCGACCCTTAGGTTGGGAGTCACTAGCCTTAGATGAAGCTTCACCTGAGTATTGAAACCACCACATTAATGTCTCCCACATACATCTTTCTGCAGAGTACCCTGACTTTTAAATACATGCAGCTTTATTTCTTCAACCGGGACTGGGACTTATATAAATAAACAGGTATGTGAACTCCTGCTGACAGATCAGATGACAACTATTTCAGTTCTACTTTCCAAAATTCACTGAATTAATGTTGAATAAATCATCAACTAATGCTTTATATTGTCACTAACACGTTTGGGGTTGGAAGGTTACAACTTCAGATTTGGTGAATACAACCTGTTTATTAACAATTTATTAACATTAAGGATGGCTTCATAAGTAGTAAAGCATAGTATCTGTAAATGGATTACCAACATTTTCACTCATACACAGTACATTGCTAGCAAATAGATATAAGATATAAGAGGGGTTATTAGAAAAAACATCTGCTTTAAAAAGTAAAAGCCCTGCATTCCTTAACATGTGTTATACAACATATTGTTTCAGATGCTTCACGCTCGGCCGACCGGTTGTCATCTGTAAACCCTGAAGATCAGAACTTGTGTACATGCAGCAGCAGCAGCTATACATTCATGTCTTGGGGAGTAATGAGGTGATGGCTCTTTGTTTTTCAAAGACGAGGAATACTCTCTGCGTGTCTGTCAATGTGTATTATGGCAAATAATGCAACATGTTGGATGTCTTCAGGGCTGCTAATGTGTGTTTAAAAGGTTGTTTCTCTCCGATAGGATGCACGGAGGCTTCCCGCACAGAGCTGCAGGCCCCTCACGCTCTCCCCTCGCTTTCAGCTGCAGAAAATGACATCTGTGGAAGTTGGAGCGGTGCGTTCAATGAGGGTCTTTGTTCCTCGCGTCATTTGTCTTCTTTT